GATTTTTTAATTTTCCCATTTTAGTTTCTATTTGTCAATGTTTCAGTTTCCTGATTTTTCAGTTTTTCCAAATTTCGAATGTTCGAGTTTTCAAGTTTTCCTTTTTTCGTTTATCTGATTTTTTAATTTTTCAGTTACCCGGTTTTTTCTGTTTCTGTTTTAGAATTTTTAATTTTTTAATTTGTGGATTTTACAATTTCCAAATTTTTCTGTTTTTCAGTAATATCTAGATTTATCAGTTTTTGATTTTTCAACTTTTCGATTTTTCAATGATTCCATTTTTTGGTTTTCAATTTTACGATTCTTATTTTTTTTCCATTATCCAAGTTTTCGATTTTTTAATTTTCTGATTTTTCAGTTTCTTTTTTACAATTTTCCGATTTTTTAATTCCTATATTTATCGATTGGTTAATGTTTCAGTTTCCTGATTTTCCGAATCTTCGAGTTTTCAAGTTTTCTTTTTTTCGTTTATCCGATTTTTCAATTTTTCAGCTACCGGATTTTTTGTTTTTGTTTCAGAATTTTTGATTTTTGGATTTGTCGATTTTTCAGATTTTCGATTTCTTGCTTTTTCAATTTTACGATTTTACAACTTTATATGTAGTTTTTAAATTTTTAAATTTTTCGTTTTTCCAACTTTTCGATTTTTTAATTTTCCGATTTTTCAATTTCTATTTTACAATTTTCCGATTTTTCAGTTCCAAGATTTATCGAAATTTTCGATTTTTTAATTTTCCGATTTTTTCAGTCTCTGTTTTACAATTTTCCGATTTTTCTTTCAATTTTTAGATTTATCGGTTTGTCAATGTGTCAGTTTTCTCACTTTTCAATTTTTCCAAATTTCGAATGTTGATTTTTCAAGTTTTCTTTTTTTCGTTTATCCGATTTTTAATTTTTCAGTTGTCCGTTTTTTTCTGAATTGTTTTTAATAACTTTATGTTTACGGTTTTCGGTTTAATTTTGACATATTAATACATATATAAACAGGATAAATGCTCCACGTTGGCCACCAACGAGCGATTTTCATGATTTTTTTGAAACTTTTCTGGTTTTGAATTTGAATTTTCTGTCCTCGATAGTTGATGCTCAGCAAGAACCACGGGAAGGTCTGGAGCAGATCTCGCTAGGAAAGGAGAGGGCTAGGATTGGTTAATGAGGGATAGAACGTTATACAGTACAATACAACGGAAATACAATACAGGTACCTACAATCTAACTATAATACAGAATACACTACAGATACAGATACAATTCAGATACAATACAAATGCAAAGTTAGTACCCAACACACCACCGGAAGAAATTGCACCAAAAATTGAGAATGTTGCAAAATGAAAACCCAAGCAAGCACACCGATGGAACTCGAAACGAAATCTATTGGTCGCAGCGCTCACACGCCCAAGGGAGAACACAGCCGCATAAATCCAAGGCCGACTGACCTCATCCTTATCGGATGATGCGACCCAGCGTCTAAGGGCCAACAGAACTCCCCAGGCCAAAGCGTCTGACGACATGGAGAATTCAGACTCGGAACCAAAGAATGCACTGTTGCAAAAAGAATACCCAAGCAAGCACACCGATGGAACTCGAAACGAAATCTATTGGTCGCAGCGCTCACACGCCCAAGGGAGAACCCAGCCGCATAGATACAGGGCCGACTGACCTCATCCATTTGGATGATGAACCTCATCCTTTTAGGATGATGACCCAGCGTCTAAGGGCCAACACAACCCCCCCCAGGCAAGAGCGTCTGACGACATGGAGAATTCAGTCTCGGGACCAAAGAATGCACTGTTGCAAAGTTAATACCCAAGCAAGTGCACCGTGAAAACAAAGCATTTGCACCACAGGAGCTAAATTGGCAAGACCCAAGTTAAGTTAGTAACATATAAAATATACAGTACAAAATGCTTCAATTACAAAAGTTACAATATACAAATTTCTCCACTTTTGCCAACAAAGAGCGATGACTCTGCTCGCTCGTTGCTGTTGCCCAGCAAGAACCAAACAATACGAGGAGGTCTGGAGTTTGTCTTGCCATGAGAAGAACAATAAATTACAAATTCGCGAACACCGGCTACTTAAAAGCCAAAACGGAGCTCCGAATGCTCAGATGTTGCTGCCACCAGACCGAAATCAAAACTAACCGAAAACCGCAATATTTGTTCAGGTGGCTCTCCTGACAGTGATCGAACATCACGATAAGATTGCAAACATTATTTTTCATATTTTGACCGGAAAATTGCGCGTTTTTAATATGTTCACGTTTGTAGGAAAACGACTTTAATTATATTAATTAATACTTATCATATTTAAACAGTATATATAAATTAAAATTCCAACCGTATTTACTCCGTTTTCGGGCATTTTTGGAAAAATGCACACTTTGTTCCGTGTTCACAGCGCTAATGCAGAACATTTTCATTAATATTTATTAGCAATTAATTAGAAATTCGCGAAAACGTGGTAGTTTTACGCCAAAACGGGGCTGCGAATGCTTCGATGTTGCTGCCACCGGATCGAAATCAAAACTGAACACAAAGGACCGAAGACAACAAATTGAATTGTTTTTAATAATTTCGTGTTTGTGGGAAAACGGTTTTCAAGTTGAATTGTTTAAATATCATTTAATTGTGTCATGATGGTTTCTTAGCAGCGTTTGCACGAGTTGATTTCATTAATAATTGCAAATCTGTCATTTGTCGCCATGTGTTATTATACACAACGAAGAATTTTAAAAATAAATAAATAAATAAATAAATAAATAAATAAATAAATAAATAAATTCGCCACTTGGTTGCGAAATTGTTTCCTTACTTTCCTTATTGCGAACAGACGTCTTCACGCGCTGAACGTTTGACTCAGACTGCCCAAAAGTGGCCGCCGACCTGTATATATACCGGTTGGCTGACGCAGCAAGACGTTCGCGAATGTTCGGGAAGCTATTCCTTTGTTTGAATACGTCGTGACGTCACGATTCGCGACGTCACAATATGAATCTTTAATTTATCAATGTATTATTAGCAACTAAAATGTTTTTATAGATCTTTTTAGACATCGTTTGTTTATATTTGTTAATTTACAATGTACAGACTAAAAAATTGGTTAAATACCGGTTGGGTGACGCAACAACACGTTCGCGAATGTTCGGGAAGCTATTCCTTTGTTTGAATACGTCGTGACGTCACGATTCGCGACGTCACAATATTAATCTTTAATTTATCAATGTATTATTAGCAACTAAAATGTTTATATAGATCTTTTTAGACATCGTTTGTTTATATTTGTTAATTTACAATGTACAGGCTAAAAAATTGGTTAAATACCGGTTGGGTGACGCAACAACACGTTCGCGAATGTTCGAGAAGCTATTCCTTTGTTTGAATATGTCGTGACGTCACGATTCGCGACGTCACAATATTAATCTTTAATTAATCAATGTATTATTAGCAACTAAAATGTTTATATAGATCTTTTTAGACATCGTTTGTTTATATTTGTTAATTTACAATGTACAGGCTAAAAAATTGGTTAAATACCGGTTGGGTGACGCAACAACACGTTCGCGAATGTTCGAGAAGCTATTCCTTTGTTTGAATATGTCGTGACGTCACGATTCGCGACGTCACAATATTAATCTTTAATTAATCAATGTATTATTAGCAACTAAAATGTTTATATAGATCTTTTTAGACATCGTTTGTTTATATTTGTTAATTTACAATGTACAGGCTAAAAAATTGGTTAAATACCGGTTGGGTGACGCAACAACACGTTCGCGAATGTTCGAGAAGCTATTCCTTTGCTTGAATACGTCGTGACGTCACGATTCGCGACGTCACAATATGAATCTTTAATTTATCAATGAATTATTAGCAACTAAAATGTTTATATAAATCTTTTTAGACATCGTTTGTTTATATTTGTTAATTTACAATGTACACACTAAAAAATTGGTTAAATACCGGTTGGGTGACGCAACAACACGTTCGCGAATGTTCGAGAAGCTATTCCTTTACTTGAATACGTCGTGACGTCACGATTCGCGACGTCACAATATGAATCTTTAATTTATCAATGAATTATTAGCAACTAAAATGTTTTTATAGATCTTTTCAGACATCGTTTGTTTATATTTGTTAATTTACAATGTACAGACTAAAAAATTGGTTAAATACCGGTTGGGTGACGCAACAACACGTTCGCGAATGTTCGAGAAGCTATTCCTTTGTTTGAATACGTCTTGACGTCACGATTCGCGACGTCACAATATGAATCTTTAATTAATCAATGTATTATTAATAACGCGCGGAATTGTATCTCATACGCTAGAACCAGTGCTGTCGCGGCGATAGTTTGATTACAAATATATTTTTCTTTTGGACTATTTCAACATAATATAACATTTCAAGATCACAAATCTGTGGTCCTGTGGTTGAAAAATTAAAAAGGGCATCAAGTATTATTATTTGAAGTAATATAGTACAATAGAAGTAGTTTTTTTACTTGCTGTAAACACTCCTAGCGACGCACTGGCTACGACCTTGTGGACCAGATCAAGGCGTCCCTGCTACTCGCCGTAAAACACATCTTACTTCAACTGGGGGATTGCAGCGGTGAAACAAATTCCCGCGCACTGATTATTAACAACTAAAATGTTTATATAGATCTTTTTAGACATCGTTTGTTTATATTTGTTAGTTTACAATGTACAGGCTAAAAAATTGGTTAAGTACCGGTTGGGTGATGCAACAACACGTTCGCGAATGTTCGAGAAGCTATTCCTTTGTTTGAATACATCGTGACGTCACGATTCGCGACGTTTATTAACATTTTCTAAACTTAACTAAATATACAAGTTTAATTTGTTTTTTTTTTTTAATTATCACATAGGTATAATGTAATATTGGTTGCATACTTCCAATACATTAATGTTTTTTTTTGTCAGATTGAACTTAGGGACTTTATGGTGTATAAAAAAAAATGTCCTTGTTGTCTGTAATAAGAAAAAACTCTTGACACTTGGCAACACTGGCTCACTATTTTGAGGTTATGTTCAAAAGCAATTCCAAATCTTTACGGCTTTCGCATGATTTTAATAAAACAACAGTCTCTTCCCTTTCACCAATTAATTAATTTTCATAATTCGTCGAGAACCCCCCTAATATTACTATGAACAATCTTCTACGAAAGTACCAGGTGAGTCACTCGACTCAATTTCATCAAGTAGCTAAGCAAAAACGTCATATTTAGCCAAACTTGCCCCATTGAACGCATCTCTCCATAAAGTCTCCACTCTTCACACCATCCTGTTCGAATGGCAACCCGCATCCAAATCAACTGGCCATCACTAGGCCTTTTCGAATGCGAAAACAACATCGAAACCTACCACTGCAAAAACTGCGACTTCCGAACCCAACTAACCCTACTTTTCAAGAAACACGTCGAGAAGCACGACACATTTGAAACAAGCAACTACACCATTCCGACTTACATTTGTCGAAAATGCAGCTTCAAAACACACTTCTCCATAACGTGGCTGCAGCATTCGAAAACTTGTTTCCCCAACGGTTTCAAAAAAAAGTACGCGTTGTACAAATCCGAAAAAGTCAAGTTGCATAATTTTAGTGAGAAAAATACATGGTACAAGTGCAAGCAGTGTCCGTACAAAACTCGATACACCTCAAATTTGAAAAGCCACGTGAATTCGCGACATTTGAACGAAAAGGACGTGAAATGGTATGAATGTAAAAACTGCTCATTTAAAGCGAAAACGAGCTCGACTTTGAAACAGCACGTGAATGCCAAACACTTGGATGATGGTGATGTTAAATGGTATCAGTGTGAAAAGTGCCCTTATAGAGCGAAGAGAAAGTCGCATTTGGAGAGACACATAAATGCGCAGCACTTGGATGAGCAGGAGGTTAAATGGTATCAGTGTAGCAAGTGCCCATACAAAGCTAAACAGAACAATAATTTAAAACTGCACGTAACCGTGTGGCATTTGGACGAGTCCGACGTTAAATGGTATCATTGTCATCAGTGTTCGTTTAAAACTAAGTACAAGCTGAATCTGCAAAGTCACATACTGGCGCGACATTTGGAAGGAAAGGATGTTAAATGGTACGAATGCAAAAGTTGCTCCTATAAGTCCAAATACTACCATAATTTGAGGCGACACGAAAACACGCTTCACTTGAATAACGAAGACAATAAAACGGAACAGAGTGCCGACTTAATGCAATTAATTGAAGATGACATCAAATGGTATTAATTCCACTAATCACAGTTAAAATAATGTAAATTGATTTTGGTTATGCAACCAACAATACACCAAAGTGTCACTAGAAAGTAGTAGGGAATTTTGTATTCACCCCACGAACGTCATTTTAATTGAGGTTATGTATTCGCAACACTCAATTTCAAGATTTTATCCAAAATTTGCCCCTTTTAACGATTTTTGTCATAGCGTTGGGTAAGAAAACCGACCTAATTTTCACTCCATAATAAAATGGTACTGCGTTCAGGTAGTTTGAAATGCCACTCCTGGAATACTCCGACAAGCTTATTCACACCAATCCTTCCCAAAAGGCTCAAAAGTGCAAAGTCTGCCCCTACTTTACGACACTAGTTTTCTTTATGGTCAACCACTCGAACCGCCACAAGCCACTGTCATCACTCTTTAATTGCGAAAAAACCAACCTTGAAATCTATCACTGCAACGACTGCAACTTCCAAACAGAACTGACATTTCTGTTCAAGAAACACATCCAAGACCACCGCAACAGAGAACCTCGAAGTGTGGAATACGTCATTCGGAACTACGTTTGCAAAAAATGCAACTTTAAAACGCACTTTTCGATGAAGTGGCTGCAACACACCACAACTTGTCTCAAAAACAAAATAAAGAAGCCTCAAAGTTCACAAAAGAGTCAGAATAAGCCAAACTATGATTTAATCAAATACATGAAAACTTATACTCGTGACCAACAAAATGTTAAATGGTATGGTTGTACAGTGTGTCCGTTTCAAACTAAACATACCGCGTGTTTAAAAAGCCACATTAACGCGCGACATTTGAACGGAGAAGACGTCACGTGGTTCCAGTGCCCCCAATGTCCATACAAAGTTAAACACAAGTCGAATTTGACGCGACACGTGAAAGCACGCCATTCGAAAGAGCAAGAGAAAAAGTGGCATGAATGTGCGAAGTGCGCGTACAGGAGCAAGTCGCAGCCGGACTTGAAGAAACACGCCAATTTGTATCATTCGGATGAGACGAGCGCCAAGTGGTACAAATGTGAAAAGTGCTCGTTCCAAACGAAGCACATGTCCAATTTCAAAATTCACATAGTGTCGCGGCACTTAGATTAATAAACTTAACCTCAAAAATTAAAGCGGCATATATTAATAACAACGAAGTTGTTGATGTTACAATAAACATATTAGAAAAGGCGAATTTTTCTTGCGTTTTTCGTCGTAGATGCGCTGAAGTCGTCTGAAGGCTTCGCGTTTTGCACTGTCAAATTTAAATACTAGGGAATTTTGTGTTTACCCCAACTACCAATCAAGGTTATGTTAAAAAAATAATAATTTGGGGGTCCCAAAAATTGACTAATTTCGAAATATTTGCCCATAATAAGAGGTAAGTAGTCGTAAATTATGTTTAATACTGGTTTTAAAAGAACATATGGAAACTAAAACACACGATTCGGAACTACACTTCTAAAAAATGCACCTTTGACGTTAAATTAGTGTCAAAAAGCCACAAATTCATCGTGAATCCGCAAAATCAAACGAAAATGGCATCAAATGAAGTCAAATTCGAAATATTGTGGTTTATAATCAATTTTTGCGGCTGTTTAGAGCGTCCTAGGGAATTTCATTTTGTCACCAAAACGTCTTCACTTTGAGGTTATGTTTGTAAAAATATCTCTCCCAGAATTAGTTTTTAGCGCACAAAAACAACTATTGAGCGACTCGTACCAAGATTAAGTATGCAAAATACCAAAATTTGTACTCTCTTTGATGTTCCATGTCGTTAGATCATGTCGATTCTGGAATACTCGAAGATTGCAAGTGTCGAAGACTGCAAAATTTGGACAAACTTCACCCAATGGTCACTTTTTAACTGTGAAAATAGCAACCTCGAGCTTTACCAGTGCAAACACTGCAACTTCCAAACCGAACTAACGCTTTTGTGGAAAAAACACACCAGGGAACACCATGGCTTTAAAAAAACTGAATACGTCGTACGAAACTATATTTGTAAAAAATGCGCCTTTGAAACACATTTTTCAATGAAATATCTACGACATACGTGTCGTTGTTCCAGAAGGCGCGAAAATACAAAAATCGTCGTTAACCCGAACAAAAAACACAAATGCGACCAATGCGACTTTTATTCCGACTACAAACACGTCATAAACGCCCACAAAATCTCACGACATTTGACAGATACCGAAGCGTGTTGGTACAAATGTGACCATTGTCCGTACAAAACCAAACATCGCCGATATTTAAACATCCACATGAAGAGTCAGCACTTGAACGAGCAAGATATTAAATGGTACGACTGCAGCCACTGCTCTTTCCGAACCAAATACCTACAAAATTTAAACATCCACATAAACGCGCGCCATTTAGACGAAGACTACGTTAAATGGTACGAATGCAAAATGTGTTCGTACCGAACCAAGCAACAGTCGAACTTGGCGAGTCACGTCAAAGTGCACCATTTAAAACAACAACAAATCAAATGGCACGAATGCCAAAAGTGCCCGTTCAAAACCAAACACAGGTCGACTTTAAAGCGACACGTGATTACGCACCATTTAGACGAAAAAGAGATTAAATGGCACGAGTGCCAGAAGTGCCCGTTTAAATCTAAAGTCAAGTCGTCTTTGATTAGGCACATAAATGGGCTGCATATGGACGAACAGGATATTAAATGGTTCGAATGCGACAAGTGTCCGTACAAAAGTAAACATTTGTCGAATTTTAAAGCGCATAATAAAGCGCGACATTTAGATAAAGGGGAGATTAAATGGTACGAGTGTCAGAAGTGTTCATTTAAAACTAAATATACGACGAATTTAAAAAATCACGTGAATGTACATCATGTGGATAAAGAGGATATCAGGTGGTTTGAGTGCAAAAAGTGTTCTTATAGGGGGAAACAGCGGTCGAATTTAATAAATCATATAAAGATGAATCATTTGAATGAGGAGGATGTTAAATGGTATGAATGTGAAAAGTGTACTTATAGAGCTAAGGTGAAGTCGAGTTTGAAAAGACACGTAAAGGCGCGGCACGTAAATAACCAGACTGAGTGAACCAATAAAGATTTTTAAAAATATACAGATGGCATTTGTGAATTTTCATTGTTGTTAATTTTAGTAACAGTTTGAGTACTTCTGGTTAGACATCTAGGGACTTTAAAAAAGAAACTAACTGAATTTGACATTTTGAGGTTATGTGTACAAACAAAGCAATTTTAGGACTATTTTTGTGAACTTATTCATGATTTGTGTCGCTTTTTCTCATGAAACGCCGCCCCTCACTGTCATCTTTCAACTGTGAAGACCGCTTTGTTGAGATTTATCACTGTAAAGACTGCAACTTTCAAACAGAACTCTCGTTGATTTTCAAGAAACACTGTGAAAGTTTTCACAACCCGAAAGGAGAGACCCAGGATGTGGACTTACCCCTTCGAAGCTACAGTTGTGAAAAATGCAACTTTGAAACTTATTTTTCCCTGAAATGGCTTCAACACAGTTTGGAATGTCCGTGTCAAAAAAAAACGTCCACGTTGTTCGAGTGCGACCAATGCGATTTCACCTCCAAGTACAAAGAGTCTGTCAAAGTACACAAAATTTCGAAACACTTGAAGGACGATGAAATCCAGTGGTACGAATGTGGAACGTGTTCCTACAGAACTAAATTCAAGAAAGAGTTAACGAGACACATTAAAACCCACAGCCCGGATTTTAAATGGTTTGAGTGTAAAATATGTCCGTACAAAGCTAAACATAAAGCGACTTTGAACCAGCACATAACGGTCCACCATTTGGACGAACGCGACATTAAATGGTTCGAATGCCAAAAGTGCCTCTTCAAAGCTAAACGAAAATCGACTTTAAATATTCACATCAACACGATCCATTCAGACGAACATAACATAAAATGGTACAAATGTGAACGCTGTCCATACAAAACTAAACAAAACGTTAATTTAAAAAAGCACGTAAATGCGCTACATTTAGACGAACACGACGTGAAATGGTACGAATGCCAAAGTTGTCCGTACAAAGCAAAGCAAAGCTCGCATTTAAAAAGCCACATAAACGCCCACCATTTGGACGAAGACGACATTAAATGGCACGAATGCCAAAAGTGCACATTTAAAACCAAGCGAAAAGCGTCGCTGAATATCCACGTAAATGCGCATCATTTAGATGAAGAAAATGTTAAATGGTATGAATGCGACAAGTGTCCGTTTAAAGCTAAATACCAAAATAATTTAATAAGACATAGAAAGCTACATCTGGACGAGGAGAATATTAAGTGGTACGGATGCAACAAGTGTCCGTATAAAGCTAAAGCGAACTCTGCTTTAAAGCAACACATGATTGCGCGCCATTTGGATGATAAAGACATTGTTTGGTATGAGTGTGACAAGTGTTCGTTTAAAACGAAAAAAGTGTATACTTTAAACATACACAAGGTTTGTCACCACTCGAACGAGGATGCCAAGTGGCATGAATGTGATAAGTGTACTTATAAGTCCAAAAACAACTATAATTTGAACCGACATATAAAAAAACGCCATTTGGGTGAATAAAACTGTCGATTTCAATCTGTCGTTTTGTGATTACTTTTCTAACAGATTCGTAGAGAATTGTTTCCTCACATAACCTCTAAAATGTGACGTTTGACTGTAGCAGCCGTTCCCAAACTGTTCCGCCATAAAATTTACGGCAGTATTATTGGTTGCCTATATCGTTTAATATACATAAAACTACTCCTTTTTTACATTAACGCTCTCTGAATGTTCATTAATTACATGTGCCTTGAGGAAGATCTCCGACTTGGCTTTGAAGGGGCACTCCTGGCACTCCAGCCATTTAACCTCATCGAAAGACGTGTGCTTGTAGAACGCGTGCCGACTAATCCCGGCCCTGTACTTGGACTTAAAATCGCACTGCGAGCACTCGTACTCCACCTCTCCGTCGTTCACTGAATGTTCACTCCGCATGTGCGTTTTCAAATCCACGTCTTTCGCCCCCTTAAACTCGCACAACAAGCACTTGAACCACGTCACGTCCTCCGAGTCCCCGTGCTCCTCGAGAATGTGGCTCCTCAGCAGCCGCTTTCCCTGCGTCTTGAACTTGCACTGTTCACATCTAAACCACTTGATTTCGCTCTTGTGTTTGTTGTTGATGTGCGACTTCAGCAGAAACTTCGACTTGCCTTTGTAGCTGCACTTGTGGCAGCTGAAGCGCTTGTCGTCTTGGTCCAGATGGGTCCGACTGTGTTTTTCTAAAGTGTCTTCGTTTTTCGTCTTGTAGGGGCAGTATTCGCATTCGAACCACTTGGATGTGTGTTTCTTCAACACGTGCTTGACGAAGTGGGCTTTGTACTCGGTTTGGTACGGGCAGTGGGCGCATTTGAGGACTTTTTCGCGCTTGAAGTGTAATTCGGGGTGTTTTCTTTCGATGTGGTTTAGTAAACAGCCTTCGATTTTTGTGATGAAGGGGCACGAGGGGCAGCGGAAGCCGTCGGGGGTCCATTTAAAGGCGACGTGTTCGGCTTGGAGAGGGGGGTTGTCGGGGGGTTCGGGCTTGACGTGCTCGTAGAGAAACGAGTCGGTGGGGAAGTCCTCGATTTCCAGTTTTATAGAATCGGAGTCGATTTCTTCCTTAATGGGGTCTTTCGGGGGTTCTGTGTCGTCGTTGTTCATAGTGACGAAATTTGGTGAAGTTGTCTTAAAATAATGTGCTTATTGAAAGGAAATGGTTTACGACGGCTTTTACCTATTATTTGGGTACAAATTTAGAAATATAAACAATTTTATAGTTTTAAGGTTAGATTCGATTATGTCATTTGTGAATGTCAACTGTCAAAATAATCTCACTTTTAATTTAAATTAAAAGAAAATATCTGAAGTGTATTTTATGCAGTTTAAAGTAAAAACTATCTTTATCCATTTATTGCTGTCCAAAACAACGAAATACAAATGATATAAACAAATAAAAGTCTACGAGTATCATTGTTGCCAACTTAAACATTTGTTCCTACTGTTCAAAATGTCTACAAATTGACACAATGACCTACTTTCCTTTCGTTGAAAGTAAACAAAAACAAATTTAAATTAATGTTTACAATATTAAGTAATGGCTTATCAGTAAAAAATCGTGGATAAAATGTCGATTTTTAGGTGCTCGACAACAAAGCGTACAATCGGTCTCCACAACATAACCTCACTTATCACCAAGGCCTAAATGCACGAAATATTCGAAAAATACATGTTTTCTACGTACTGCAACCACTTCCCGTGCATCCAACCCATTCCGGAGTACCAGTGTGCTAAATGCCATTACTCTACACACTTCAAAATGTGTCTATACAAGCATTCTCCGAAACCAGAAACCCTCAGCCCCCATATTTGCCCCAAATGTAAAAATTTCCAAACCCATTCCACTCTAATCTTCCTCAGACATCTAAACAAGTGCAAAAAACCCAAAGAGCGGCGCTTGAAGCCCCCCATTCCGAAGCGACCCAAACGCTACAGCTGCACCAAATGCCCGTACGCCAGCCCCAGCAAACAATACCTCTTCATCCACGTGAACGCCCGCCACACCACCCCCGACGCCATCGTGTGGATAAAATGCGAACATTGTACCTTCAAAACAAAATGGCCCAGCCACCTCCGTATCCACACTAGCCTCAACCACTGTGATAACCCCATCTGGTACAAGTGCGCCTCGTGCGACTTCAAAAGCCGCCTTCGACGCGCTTTGCAAGAGCACCAGATCGTGCACTTGCCCCCCGACCAAATCGAGTGGCAACAATGTGAACACTGCCACTACAAATCGAAAACCAAACGCCACCTCAAGAAGCACATTTTCCTCAAGCACACCGACCCCGACTTGATTAAGTGGGCGCAGTGCGAGCTGTGCCCCTACCGGGCCAAGCAGCGCACCCACTTGAAGAACCACGTCCGGGCCAAGCACACCCCTCCGGGCGACTCCGACTTGCCTCAGTGCGACTTCTGCCCGTACAAAACCGTGCATCGCAGCACGCTAGTGAGACACATGAACGCGCAACATTTGAACCAGAGTCTGCAGAGGAGCGCCAGGGGGGCTGTCTTTAAATGGTACGAATGCGATCGGTGTCTTTTCAAGACGAAGACGAACGCCAATTTGAAGCGGCACGTGATTTCGCAGCACACGGCCCCGGAGGACATCGAGTGGTTCGAGTGTGAGTTGTGTCCGTTCAAGGGGAAGATGAAGGGGCACTTGAGGAAGCACGTGAGGCTGCAGCACTCGGCGGACGTGGTGTGGTCGAAGTGTGAGTTTTGCGAGTATAAGACGAAGCAAAAGAGCCACTTGAAGGATCACGTTAAGGCGAAGCACACGAGGAGGGAGGATTTGCAGATGCTGATGTGCGATCAGTGTGGGTACGAAACGGGGTTTGCGAATACGTTGAAGAGGCACGTGAGGAACAGGCACGGGGGGCTGAAAAGGGGCAAGGGGAGGTGAGGGAGTGAGTTAACGAGGCTGTGAAACTGTGTGTATTCTAGTCGTTTGAGTTTACCAAATAAATTTCGAAAGATGGTGTATTGTTGGTTGCATAGCGCAAACATAACCTCACTTTATTGTTTGTAAATTGACTTGCATTTTTCTTTTATTTCAGATATAGGCAACCAATAATGTTCACATATTAAAAATGTGCTTATCATTGTTGTCGATTTCTACTAACATTAAAATTATCTTGCTTTTATAGAATGTCATATTTTGCGAACTATCATAACCGTACGTAAATTTTATTGTTATCATTTAAAGTTCATTACTGTCACGTTAATAACAGCCAACACGCCATTATCGTCTTCCAAGCAGTTATTACGCGATAAAATTTCGATAACAAATTTCGCTCGACATAAGTAAAAAATGACCCTAATTCTTTAAATTTCATTTAAATGCGGCCTACGCATGCGCGAAACAGTCGCGACCAATCACAAAGCGCACAATACCCCTCGAACCAATCGCAAAGCGACCTGTCAAGTGTCACATTCTTGGCACGATTCACCTTACATAACCTCAAAACTCCACAGACCGAATCTCCGCAGCAAACAGTTTCTATTGTCACGAAATGACCACAGATGGATATTCCGTTCGGTAAAGTCCTAATTTACGCGCTCACCTTCATCGGGTACATCTATTCCGGTTATGGTTCCGGTCTGTTGACAAATTTGCGCGATGCGGTTATTTCAGCCGAGACCATTTTTGGCGATGTTATGAAAAATGTGATCAAAGTGGCGCAAAATTTCCGGAATTTGCACGACGTGTTCGATGCCGCGGTGGAGGAGAACTGCGTTTACAAGTGTCCGAATGGTGAGTACTGAGTGGATTTTTCAAAACGGGTAAAGCAGCGAGGGTCGTAGGGGCTGCCCCGAAACCCGATCGGAACCACGTGCCGACGGCCGATGGGTGCGGCTCCCTGGGGTTGAAAATCGACAGCGACTATTTGCCAGTCGGGGAAATGAAAAAATGTTGCGATGAACACGACAAGTGTTACGACACTTGTAGCAACGACAAGGAAGTGTGTGATTTGGAGTTTAAGAGGTGTTTGTATAGGTATTGCGAGGGGTATGAGAAAATGGTGGGCGGCGGCACGATGGTCAAAGGTGAGTTGGGTTGTGGCGCTATTTGATTTAAATTGAGGTGTTTGTAGCGTGTAAGGGGGCTGCCAAGATGCTCTTCACCGGGACTTTAACGTTAGGGTGTAAGTCGTATATGGACGCCCAACGAAAAGCGTGCTATTGCCCCCCTACCTACGGATGGAAAGACAAAAGGAACAAGTACACAAGGGGGGATGAATTATAGTATTTATTTTTGTTATTGTGAGAAGGTTAATAAAAAAGGAGAGTTGTAACAGATGTTTTATTGCCCTTGACGACACTTTTTTTAAGTAAAATTTGAAGCATCTACGACAAATCGAGTTTTGAAATTCCGTAAACGCTACTGTTTTTAACACCAAAGGGTCAACAAAATTGACGTTTTTTTAAAAAATGTACCAAATATAAATTACAGCGCCAACTCGTATCATAAAAACATATACAACCAGCGTTTCAATATTAAAACCGCGAAGAAAAATTTACACCAAAGACACACTAACCTTCCTCCATGATCGTCTTCAAGAAGTGTCTCGACTTATCCAGGATTTTCCTATGTATGACCACGCTGTCTTCCAAATCAGTCAGAAGTTTCTTACACGAACTTATATCGCTCTTAATTTTGCCCACATTCAAGTCGCGAGGTTGTCGAATTTTGTCCAGAACCGCATCCAAGTCGATCTCGTCACTTTCGCAGGAATCGATACCAACCTCCACCTTTTCTTCCTCCAACAACTGCAGAATCTTCTGCTTTACAACCGGATTGTTGACGTAGAACCAGTCACTCCGCACGTACTCGTTTAATAAATTAACATCGTACACCGCTACTAGCTGGTTATACACGGACTTGTTCACAAAACCTGTACCATACAAGGAAAAATCGGTCTGTTCTAACTTTTCCAAAGCTAATAATTCGATAACCTCGGTCCACACGACGTTACCCACATTTTTAAAATTAATACTTGGGTCGACGTCCTTCAATAACACACTCATAGTCCGGTAGAAACACTTGTGGGTGTCTGCTACAACCGTCGCACAGTACTTCGATATGGAAATCTCCAGCTGGAGCGGATCCAGTGGCGGCCAGTTTTCCAAAAAATTGGGCAACTTTAGGGCATCCAGAACCCCCTCGAGGTGTTTCGCGTACGACGGGTGCTCCCAAAACGTCGGGAAATACTTGTAGTCGCACGGAAGCGAGTCCGGGATTTGACTGCGCAGAAAGTCTTTGAAGATGTCGGGGAATTTCGCGTATTCGTGTCGTTTCTCGTCCAGGAGGATTTTCTTCAGTCGACCTAGAGCCTCATTATGAAGATAAATCACCGTGTTGGGGCTCTTGAGACATGTCTTGTAGTTGGAGTTCCATTTAGAGAAACTGTTTGCACGTTTCCACAAGTTGTTACAGAGGTACTTCGCCAGAAAAGATTTCAACGTGTCGAGTTCCAAAGGCGGCGATTTTTCGGTCCGCGTCGAGAGGAAAATCAAACCTTCCTCTATTAAGTTGATGAGATTCTTGGAAGTGAATTTGTCGACTAGTATCAAATAGTCGGAGATGATCCCCTCGGATATTAGAGTCTTGAGGTTGGATTTTTCTTCGGTGTATTTTTGGAGCACTAGTGCTATGGGGATTTTCACGAAAACTCCATAGGTTTTGAAGTTTTGGATGATGCGTTCGCAGAGGTCTTCGTTGAAGTCGTCCGCGATGAAGATGAACCCGTTCGTGTCGTTCCTAGTGTTCACGATGAGCCCTTTTTGTTTTTCCAAGCAGTAGGTGATGGTCGGAAGGGACTTGGATTGTTCTACGACGACCGTAGTAAGTCCTCTTTTTTCCCACTTGATGTAGCTATCCAGGACTTTCTCGACGTGGTTCAAGCCGCACCCGTACTCCACCTCGTGCGGCAGCGACACCGTCACCTTCCAGAACAACTCCCTGTGGATCTTCATATCCACCTCTAGGAATTTCTTCCGGAGAAGCTTATGCGTGAGTTCGCACAAGTCGATCTTAGACAGTTCTCCAACGTCACTCACTGGCACCTCCAGCGGTCGCCCTCTTTTGTACCTCTTCATGCTCTGCAACGTCAAACTCTGCCCGCTCATCCTCAACTCCTCCGCCTCCTCTTTCACCGACCGCGCCCCGAACCACCCCGGCTCGAAATCCAGCGCCTTCCTCTTGCGCCGCCTCCTCGTGCTCTCCCGCCACTTCGCAACCACACTCCTGACTTTCCTGTCATGCATCCGTCGCGCGATTTGCGCTAGCTTCTCCTCTCGGATGTTCTCCTCCACCGCGTCCAGCAAATCACTGACGACGTTACAAACCGCCGCCTTAATTTCAACGTTTTTGCGCCTTTCTTGCTCCCGCCTTTTTTGCTGCTCTTCAATCAGCTTTTTCCGCATTTCCGCGATGCGTCGCTCTTCTTCCACGCGTCGCCGCTCCTCCTCCTCTTCCTCCTCTTCTCTGCGCCTTCGCTCCTCCTCTTTCGCACGCTCCGCCTTCTTGCGCTCCGCCTCGAGTCGCTCCTCGTCGGCTTTCGCCACCTCCCCGCCGAAAATGCTCTTGGGGGCGTCGCCGAAAACGGCGGCGGTGGGCTGCGCCCACAGCGACGTCGTGGGCACGAACAGCCCGCCCGTCTGCGCGAAAATGCTCTTGACGGCTGGAGGGGACACCGGAGGCGGGTCTAATTTCTTCTCCACGATGGCGATTGGCGCGAAAATCTGGCTGGCGACGACGAGGCGTGGCTTGTCTTCTTCTTTACGTTCGACGGGTTTGATTGGTGCGAACACGGCTTCGGGGGGTGGGGTTTCGGGTTTTGGCTCCGGTTCGTCAATTTTCATTGGTTCGTCTTTTCGATCGACTTCGTCGAAGTCGAGGGCGTGTTTTAAGTAGCCGTCGTTGTCGAAGCTGTCCTGGGGGGTGTGGGTTTCGTAGTTTTTGGGAGGGAGGTGTCTGCCGCAGACCACCTCCCCGACTGATTGCTGGCGTTTTGATTCGACGAGGTTGATGGCACGGTCGAGGATGTAGGGGTATTCGGGAGGGGCGAAGCCGGATTTGTCGAGGATGATTCGGCTGCGTTCGACGTTAGTGTAGAGGCCGTAGCTTTCGCAGAAGTCTATGGTGGATTCGGGACCCTCGAAACCGAGGATTTTGGTGAGGTGTTGGATGGGGAGGGAGGACTGGGAGACGCGAGGGGAGTAGGACTTGAGGAGGGTTTTGAGGGCGGAGATTCGGACTTGGGTGAAGTAGCGCATGAGGATGCAGGCGTTGAGGAACGTCGTGGAGTTGACGAGTTTGAAGAATTTCACGTAGTTTTGTTTATCGAGGGAGGAGTAGACGGCGAGGGCGAATTTCACCTCTCGGGATTGTTGGATGGTTTGTTTGAGTTGTTGGACCTGAGAAAGAAAGCTGTCATTACGAAATGATAAGTGCTGCCAACTTTGATTTTTTATTAATCGTAAAAGTACGCCAGTGGCTCTCAACAAGTTTCGAACTCACCTCCCACATGAAGTTGCCGTCGTTCAAATTTAACAAAATAATATAGGCCCTGAACTCAGGCTCGTCCTTGCAAGACTCCCCCTTCAGTTGCAAATCGTGGTACATGTACTTCAACGTTTGTAAACACTTGGTTAAATTTTCGGTGTTAATTTTTTGGTCGAAAACTGACGGATCCTCTGCTACCAACCTCGCGGAACAAAAAATATGAAAGCGTGCACACTGTTCTACCAACTCGACGGAACCCTGACAACACAACTCTTGTTGGGTTATATCTTTCCTGATCCCTCTTGTTCGATCCCACAGGAAATGGTACCACTCAGCTATATTAACCTAAAATAATATCACTTTATTTAAAAAAAAAATAAATATAGGTGACGTACATCCGACGTTTCACACAGCCCCAATATCCTATGCATTAAATACCCCATTGTCATTTGTAGAACCCCCACAGGTCTTAATTCCTGCGGAAGTGGGGCTTCCTGATCCGCCGAACTTCTTGAATACTGTTTCACAGCCAACTTCGCGTTCATGCCTTTGCCACCTTCTTCCTGTTCGTAGAGTGCCACCTGGTGTTGTGTTTCCCGCATTAAACGTTCCTTCTCAGGACACATATCCGGACAAGTACCCACCGTTGCCCTCGCTTTCGACAACTCAATATTTTTCTTCAACCTAATCCTAATTAGTTTATCCCTAGCGTCTAAAATCCTGTACTTTTCTTCGGCCGTGAAGGCTTGCTGTTTGATGATTTGTGCGAGGTCGGATTGCTCGCCACTAAAAAACCAATTCTACACAAAGCAGCGATTTAAATTTCCAATTTCTACCTAATAGATTCTTTCCCCTTTTTCTTGATCGGCTTCGGCGACCCCGTAGCCCCCTTCCAGCGCCGCTGCTTGCCTGGAGAGTCCACGTTCATTGCTGCAACGCTTTCATTGTTTTTAGAACTACGACGCAACAACTAACCTTCTGATCGCAGCTCGTACGCCCGCTGCGGCCCGAAGGCCCCCATAGCCTCCAGTTCCGAGCGCACTTCAGGGTCGTCGGTCCAGTCGGGGTCGGGGTTTTTCTTGCCCTTTTTTTTCTTCGGGATGATTTGGGTGTCGCGCGTCACGTTGAAAAACTGACCGTTGTACTCTCCTGCCACTTCGAGGGCGTTCAGCATGCTGTCTTCGTTGGCGTATTCGACGAGGAGAGCGTTTTTCTTCGGCTTGAACATGACTAGCTTGACTTTGCCGAACCGGCGGAAGTAGCGTTTGGCGACATCGCGGTTTTCGAAAAAGTCGCGCGGGGCGTTGGTGGCTCTGAAAATAAATGTTTAGTTACATTTTTCAAAATCTGGGACGCTTACTTGATTATAAAAGAATCTATTTTTTCTGTGGCGTCTGTTTCCGCCTCCATTCCGCTTTTCAAAGTTTGCTAGTTAATATAATTGTTAAATATGTATAAAGTCGTGTGGAAAAGGTTGTCGGGCGTTAAACCCCCTCGATAAATACACAACCTCACTTTTCATCACCTTTTCATGACGGTCGGATGTCAAAAAATTTGAAAATTTTTGGCCTACAGTTGGCAGTTAAAGTAACTGTTTTGTACCTACTGAAAGTAGTTACCACTTACCACAAACCCACAAACGATCCAGACACAGTCAGAATTTTATGTGTTTTGCTTTTTTTTTGTGGAATCTATGGTCGTTTTTGCCCCAGCTCATAATAAATCCAGAAATCGCGTTTCAAATTTTCAAAAATGTGTCCAAAACTTGTGCTTCAGTGTTTGAGGATCTCTGGTTGGAGAACAAAACCCACTGAAGCTGCGTTTGGGGAGTTTTATGTTCCACTAGTTTGTAATTTTTGACATTTCGAGGTTATGTTAAAAAAATTATTAAAAACAGTAATTCTGGCGTAAATTTATGAAGACACTTTCGTCAAGGTATTTGGTGGAAAAATGTGCCCATTTTCCGTTATTTAACGAAATTCTAAACTGCTTAGGTCAAAATGTCGATTGTGGCCTACCGTGAGAAGTTTGCCCCCTTGAAGTCCCTCAATAATGTCAAAGACTGTAAACTGTGCCCCCATTTCACGTCAGTTTCTCTTCTAATGAACCACTCACTACCAGGACTTTTTAAATTGTGAAAACAACATAGAAATTTATAGTTGCAAAACGGAATTGACGCTCCTGTTCAAAACACACATCACTCAATACCACAGAATTAAACGACAAAATATAGACAGACACGCCATTCACAACTACGTTTCTAAAAAGTGCAGTTTTAAAACCAATTTCTCTCTTAAATGGCTTCAACATGCATTAACATGTCTAGAAAGCCCCCAAAACCCCGTCAAGGACGAAACAAGTACCGAAATATCAAGCTACAAATGCGAAAAATGTGCATACAAAGCTAAACGCCCCCTCTACTTAAAAAGACACCTCAAAATCCAACATTTAAAAGACCAAGACATTAAATGACACCATTGCCACTTCTGGAAAATTATAGAACAGAAACTGAAAAACTCGAAAAATTAAAAAATCGAAAAGTTGAAAAATCAAAAATCTATGAATATTGAAAAACATAAAAATTAGGAAATTGAAAAATCGAAAATCGAACCATCAAAAATTCTAAAAGAGAAACAAAAAAAAGAGGTAACAGAAAAAAAATCGGATAAGTGAAAAAACGAAAACTTGAAAATTCGAACATTCGAAATTTGGAAAAATTGAAAACTCAGGAAAGTGAAAGATTGACAGAGCGATAAATCTAAGAATTGAAAAATCGGAAAATTGTAAAACAGAAACTGAAAAAACCGGAAGAATTGAAAAGCCAAAAAATGGAATGATTGAAAAATCAAAAATCGATAAATCTAGATTTTGAAAAAGAAAAAAATTAGGAAATCGTAAAATTGACAAATCGAACGATCAACAATTCCAAAGCAGAAACAGAAAAAACCGGCTAACTAAAATAGTGAAAAATCGGATAAACGAAAAAAAAGGAAAACTTGAAAAATCGAACATTCGAAATTTGGAAAAATCGAAAAATCAGGAAACTGAAACATTGACAAACCGATAAATCTAACAATTGGAAGAAAAATCGGAAAACTAAAACAGAAACTGAAAAAATTGAAAAATTAAAAAATCGAAAATTTGGATAATGGAAAAAATTAAATCATTGAAAAATCAAAAATCTATGTATCTAGATATTGAAAAACATAAAAATTAGGAAACTGAAAAGTCGAACCATCAAAAATTCTTAAAGAGAAACAAAAAGAAACAGGATTTTGGCAAGTCGCATACCTCTGAAAAAATAGAGGGTGGGTGGGTGGGCCTAGTACTTGCAACGATAAGACTAAACAATATTAAGAATAGTAATTGTAATGAAATAGGGGCGGGTGGGCGGAAACTAAAAAAATCCGAAAATGAATCTAAAAGTTGGATAATTGAAAAAACGAAAAATTGAAATTTAAAAACTCTAAAACTGTAAAATTAAAAAATCGAAAAGTTGAAAAATCAAAAATCTATGAATATTGAAAAACATAAAAATTAGGAAATTGAAAAATCGAAAATCGAACCATCAAAAATTCTAAAAGAGAAACAAAAAAAAAGAGGTAACAGAAAAAAAATCGGATAAGTGAAAAAACGAAAACTTGAAAATTCGAACATTCGAAATTTGGAAAAATTGAAAACTCAGGAAAGTGAAAGATTGACAGAGCGATAAATCTAAGAATTGAAAAATCGGAAAATTGTAAAACAGAAACTGAAAAAACCGGAAGAATTGAAAAGCCAAAAAATGGAATGATTGAAAAATCAAAAATCGATAAATCTAGATTTTGAAAAAGAAAAAAATTAGGAAATCGTAAAATTGACAAATCGAACGATCAACAATTCCAAAGCAGAAACAGAAAAAACCGGATAACTAAAATAGTGAAAAATCGGATAAACGAAAAAAAAGGAAAACTTGAAAAATCGAACATTCGAAATTTGGAAAAATCGAAAAATCAGGAAACTGAAACATTGACAAACCGATAAATCTAACAATTGGAAGAAAAATCGGAAAACTAAAACAGAAACTGAAAACATTGAAAAATTAAAAAATCGAAAATTTGGATAATGGAAAAAATTAAATCATTGAAAAATCAAAAATCTATGTATCTAGATATTGAAAAACATAAAAATTAGGAAACTGAAAAATCGAACCATCAAAAATTCTTAAAGAGGAACAAAAAGAAACAGGATTTTGGCAAGTCGCATACCTCTGAAAAAATAGAGGGTGGGTGGGTGGGCCTAGTACTTGCAACGATAAGACTAAACAATATTAAGAGTAGTAATTGTAATGAAATAGGGGCGGGTGGGCGGAAACTAAAAAAATCCGAAAATGAATCCAAAAGTTGGATAATTGAAAAAACGAAAAATTGAAATTTAAAAACTCTAAAACTGTAAAATTACAGTTTTATACCAAAAAAATAAGTTTGTTTTTCAGTAAAAAGTGAGACACAACCTTGACCTCAATTCTAATTTCTTGCGACATAACCTCAAAATTTTATCTAAACTGTCAAACGAAAACAACCACAAACCTAAAATACATAGACGTTTAATTATATAGTACGAATTTAAAGAAAGAAAAATGCCAGAATTTGATGGTTGTTACCTTTTTTGTGAAATCTGTGATTGTTTTTGCCCCAGCCCTTATAATAAGTCCAGAAAACACGTTTCAAATTTTCAAAACTTGTGTCGCTTCAGTATTTAAAGATCTCTGGTTAGCAAAAAACCCCAAGTCTGCATCTGGAGAGTTTTGTGTTCCACTAGTTTGAAATTTTTGACATTTCGAGGTTATGTTAAAAAAATATTAAACACAGTAATTCTGGCGTAAATTTATTAAGACACTTTCGTCAAGGTATTTGGTGGAAAAATGTACCCATTTTCCGTTATTTAACGAAATTCTAAACTGCTTAGGTCAAAATGTCGATTGTGGCCTACCGTGAGAAGTTTGCCCCCTTGAAGTCCCTCAATAATGTTAAAGACTGTAAACTGTGCCCACATTTCACGTCAGTTTCTCTTCTAATGAACCACTCATTACCAGGACTTTTTAATTGTGAAAACAAAATAGAAATTTATCGTTGCATAAATTGTCACTTCCAAACGGAATTGACGCTCCTGTTCAAAACACACATCACTGAATACCACAGAATTAAACGAGAAAATCTAGACAGACACACCATTCAGAACTACGTTTGTAAAAAGTGCAGTTTTAAAACCAATTTCTCGCTTAAATGGCTTCAACATGCATTAACATGTCTAGTAAACCCCGATACAAATACCGAAATACCAAGCTACAAATGTGAAAAATGTGCATACAAAGCTAAACGCCCCCTCTACTTAAAAAGACACCTCAAAACCCAACATTTAAAAGACCAAGATATTAAATGGCACCAGTGCCATTTCTGTCAATTTAAAACCAAATACAAATCAACCTTAAACACCCACATCAAAGTGCGCCATTTGGCCGACAAGGATGCCAAATGGTACGAATGCAAAAAGTGCCCCTTTAAAACCAAGCAAAGCTACAGTTTAAAGCAGCATACCATCAGGCGTCACGTGGACGACAAAGACATTAAATGGTTCCAATGCCAAAAGTGTCCCTACAAATCTAAACAACACTCAAATTTAATAAGACACGTGAAAACGATGCATCTGGACGACCGGGACATTAAATGGCACGAATGCCAAAAGTGCCAATTTAAAAGCAAATACAAATCGGCTGTCAAAACTCACATCGCAGCGCGCCATTCAGACGAACATGATTGTAAATGGCACGTGTGCACCGAGTGTCCATTTAAAACCAAGTATCAGTCAAACTTAAGAAAACACCTGAATTTTCGACATTTGGATGACGGGAGTGTCAAATGGTTCGAATGTGACAAGTGTCAATTTAAAAGTAAATTTAAGTCGGTTTGGAAAAGTCACGCCGCACGTCATCCGACGTAACTTGTCATTGTAATAGAGACAATTTTTGATTAAACGTGTTTTTACAACTTTTTGGAATTTTATTTAAGCGATTGGGGTTGTTTTTTGTATTTGTTTGAGAACTTCTGGTTGACTGTGCTGTCACGCTAGAGAAAATTTGAGGTTATGTTTATTTATTTAAATAAACATTTTTGTTTGTAAATCAATAAATTTTGCTGTTTTAAATTATTCGACAAGACCACAATTTGTCTTTAAAAGAAATTTGTAGCAAAAGTTTAGCAGAACGAGATATTAAGTTAAAAAATGCTTGCCATTTAAACTCGGACAAAATTAAATGGCACGACCAAATAAATAATAATTGAGAGTCTGACAGCGCGCTCCTTTTTTCCTTAAAAAATTCAAAACTAATCGCGTGTGCTCTAAAACTTTGACATTTTTTGGTCCCCGCCGCTCGACGTCAAACATTTCCGTGCTAATCCCCAAAAAATGTCCGATACACTAGAAGATCTAAATTACGACTTCAATTACAACCTCTTCATCGCTAAGACCCTCCTCAACAACTTGTCGCGCCATGAAGATAAAACCCGAGCCACCAGATGGATGAAGAAGTTGAGTGGGTGCAACCGCACCGTCAACGAAATCCGCCTACGCAACGACTTCATGTACTACCTCATCGTCAACATCCAGAACGGCGAACTGCAGCCGCCATTCAACGAAAGCCCCCCACACAAGCCCCTCCCGTCCATCGCGCACCTCCTGGTAAGTGACAATCCCCGCCCTCACACCCACTAGCCCCGCCTTTTCAGCCCGGAGGCGTGGAAGCCACTGCGGACGAAGAAGCGGCAGTCTTCGAAAAAATGGAAGGCGCGGGGCACAAACCCCTACTTTACGAAAACTCCCCCGACGGAGGGGCGTTCCTGGCGGCCCAGCCAATCCCCAGATGCGGTGCGTTTTGCTACCTGGCGGTGGTTGCCAGAAAACCGGAGAAGGACTAATTAAGGAGGAATAAAAAAGCGTTTTTAGTAAAGAATTTATTTGATTGGTTGTATGGGGGTGTGGTCAGCGGAAGCCGGACCAGGTGTCGCGCGGGGCTTGGGCGGCCCGGCGGCCGTAGCGTTGTTGGGTGGGGGCTTGCGGGGCCACTTGGGTGGGGCGGGGCGGCGGGACGTACACGTCTTCAGCGGGCGTCGGCTACAACGACTCAAATTAAATATATTGAACACAATTTAATAAGTTCAGTGTACCTGTCTAGGGGAGGACCTTCTAGTGCTAGTGGACGCCTGCGACGTTTCTGCTGAAGTCGTCGCCATCTCACTAGCTTGGCTCTCCTGGAGACTCCTGCTTTCCAGCTCTTTCGCTGTTTCCTGCACCCAAGGCGGTCTTCTCTTTTTCACGACCTTCTTCTTCACCACCTTCTTCAGTTTCGACGGGTCCAGCAGCACCTTGTCTTTGTCCACTCGTAACGACTCCTCTTGATTGATGATGCTCTGCTCCAACGACTCCTTCAAGTGCTCCAAGGTTTCGACCTTCTCGGCTTCCGCCGCTTCCAAGGCATCCTTTTTCGCTTCAGCCGCCTTCTCCTTCTGCTGCATCTTGCCAATCTCGTCCTTGTGCTGCTGCTTCAGCTGATTCAGACGCTTCTTCAAGCTGTTGTTCTCTTCGTTGAGACGCTCTCCTTCGGATCGTAACCACTGGAGTCGGTGATAGGCCGCTTGGCGCTTCATCATCTCCAGCTCCTCGGGCTCTATGTTGAGTTCAAGCGGAATGGGGAACAGCTCCAGGAGGTAGTGTTCCTTCTCGGCCGCGTAGCGGTCGAAGTCGAACTTCGGCGCCATGGCGTAGATTTCCTCAATGAACTTCATCATCTTAGCGTCCAGAAGCGTTTTCCGCTCTTTGTAGAACTCGGACAGCTGCATCTGCTGGTTGAGAAGCACGTCGCTGTTGTCCTGGGTTATCGTATCGTAGACTTTCCTCGCCAGCGTCCTGAAGGAGTTCAAGTCCTCTTGCATGACGCTGCGGAGGACGTCGCCTTGGTCGCTCGTGGACGGCGCTATCAAGGAAATGAACTCGTGCACGGTGACCTTCTGGTTTCGGATGCTCTTGAGGATCTCCTTCATGCACTTGAGGTCTTCACCCGGGGGAGCGTTGCGGCGGATTGTCTTCTTCTTGAGTCTCGCCAGCTCGGACACTAGATTAACGTACAATGAAAGAAGAAATTGTTGACTTACCGGTTTTTTTGGGCTTCGGCATGACACTGAGAGCCGGAAGCTCGAACTTCTTCTCGGCTTTGGGGGCATCGGGGGCTTTCGAAGTGGACGATTTGACGGAAGCGCTGGCTTTGGAAGCCGTGGAGGCCTTGGAGCCCGCTCGAGTCGAAGTTGACGATCTCGCAGACGCCTGAGTCTTCGACAAGGAGGGCTGCTTACGCACCTGTTCCCTGGAGGTGGCTTTAGCGGGGCGGCGCGACATCACGAGAATTTAGATTGTTTTGTTTAAATTAACAGAAACAGAGTGTGAAAGAAATGATAAAAAGGTTGAACCAAGTCGCTAAAATTAGTACTTCGAGAGGGATTAGCAACACTAGCATTTTAAAAGTAGTCGAAAGGGCAGGTGGGGTTTCATTTCGACTTTTCGAACATTTCGAAGATGACTTTTGAGTGAGTGGCGGGAGGGGTCTTGATTGTGGGAGGAAAATAAGAGACACTAGTTAGCTGCGATTTTTTATTAAATGTTTGTTATTCAAAACATAATTTGGTTAGTAGGTTCGTTATGACAATTAAATAGCTGCAACCAGTAATACACAGGCTGGGTAATTTTAATTAATACAAGCTTCATAATATAAGAAACTGTATGATTAATAACTATAGTCGTTTTTAGGCGGTTTATTTGTTGAATTTCCACTCGAAACGTACAAATTTTAATTTTACAACACAGTAACTGTGACAGTAGTTGTAGGTAGGCAACCCACAATACACACGAGTATAAAAATTAACAATTCAGTAAATTACATTCCAAGACCGATGTTACAAACAACACTTTTATTGTAACAAAGCGTCGATTGCTTTAATTTCGGCTCGGAAAAGCCCGAATTTTCTTTTTCCTCGAAAATCAGCTCTCAACTTTTCAAAACGTTTCTCTACTGCGCAACTCCATTCCTCGTCCGTGATTGGCCCGTTCCCCTTGATTAGTTCAACAGTTGGCATGTTGGTGGCGCCATCCCTCATTCATTTCATGGCATGGCGGCCTCAGGATATACGTGATAAAAAGTGCTTCTTAAAGTTTCTTTAGTTGTTATTATTAAAAACTCTCGTTAATTTTTCCGTTCGTTACCGAATCAAAAGTGTTTCCGTTCTTCCGCCCGCCCCCTCTTCCCCGCGCAAAATGCTCCAGTGTTAAAATAATGTGTTGTGTTTATGTTTTCCGTACAAAAATAACATTCGGATTTTCACTCCGCTCGCAAAAGGTGAGTAGATTCTGGGAATTTGTGGTCGAGAAGGGGCTGGTTGGGGCGCCCCGGGCCCCACGAGCCCCGTCGCGAGTGGCGATTTTGTTTAGTAATGTTAGGTTATAGCGCCAGGGGCGGCTCGGCCCTTCCAGCCCCGATTCGGCCGAGCGGAAATTCGCGGCGAATAAGTGCTCCAAAGGCGACAATTGTGTTATTATGCAAAGTAGAACGGTATGGAAATTAGACATGCGATCGTTGTAGCCACTACACAGTAATTTTATGGCTTGTTTGTGCGTTATTTATGGCAGAAGCGAACAAAGAGTTAATTGCGGGCAATTAGGGGCGAAATCGATGGCGGGCCCCCAGGGCCGGACCGGGCTCGGGGTTGCGACAAATGCTCACCTGTGCGCTATTTCAATAGTCGAATTTACGCAAGTTAAGCAAATGTTTTCTCCCGTTTCTTGATTAGAATGATTTACGATTAGCCACACGTCTGAAAAGGAAGTTTCGAAATGGTTTACATTTTCGGTGATTTGCATAACATGATACATAATAACATGTAATCGAACGGAGAAGTAAATATTTGATTTTTTTTCTTCGAGATAAGAATCTGATAGGGTTTGATTAATGATGTGAGGTTTTCGCACGTTATCGTAATAATACTATTATTATTAGATTATTGATCACGAGTTGTGAATGGAATTAAAGCCGCTCTGAGCCATCAGGTGATCATTTAATTTTTTTTTTTTTGTAAATGGTTGCGTAGTGGTTTCAGAAATTTCGATAGTGGTTGAAAACGTGACCAAAAAAAAACCCGGCGTTGTAAATAAGACGACAAGATTGGACCCGAGTTCATTGATGATTAAAATGTGTATTGTTATGTAATTTATGTAATATTTATTGTTGCTTTTTTCTTTCAAGATTACTTTATCTTTTATATTGTTGACATTTTTTGCCATAATTGATAACCGCGAATTGATTCGGGTTTTAAATTATTTTTAGTTGTTTTTTGTGGGACAACTGACCCCAGTAGCACATTTTTACGTCTGATAATATCAATTCTCCCTACTCCTTTCGCGACATCGGTGTCAATTGGCACACGTGCCGCCCGACCGCAGCCTCATCTCGGCCCCCGCGTCGGCGGATCGCCCCCAAAAGGCAACCGAAGTGCAACTGGTGTGATTCACGATCAAACTATGAAGTCGCGCACAACTCGGTGATGTCATGGCAAACGTTCCAAAGAAGCAAATCCCATAAATTTGATCCTGACAACAATCAACAAAAGATAGCGCAACTCGGGAAATATGTACACACTGCAACTGATACAGCGTATCATGGTCGAGAGCCATCAATCAAACGAAATCTCGCAACTTATTTCATCTATACCGCAAACAAAAAAGAAAAAAAAGCGCGACTGTTTCAAGTTCGTCGACTCGTGAGCACAACAGAAAGACCGAATTTGCGTAAACGCAACCTTCGATTCGATAACACCCATTTGAGTGTGTCAAAACAATCGTTGGTAACGGATGTTTGGACGGAGCTATGTCAATTTAGATAGTGTTTACGCCGGGACCGACAATTGGTAAAAAGTGGTTTTTGGCGAAAATCGACCAAGTGCGTTGCATAATGGCGTTTGTTGTGATTTTGGAGGATGGTTGGCAACACTGGCGAAACCGAAAGCGTCACGTGACCGCACGGTGTGTTTGATCCGCGTGGAAACCGTTAATCACGGCACACCGCGATGGCGGCGAAGTCTTTAATTAGTTAATTAACCGCACGTCTTGACCATACACGATTCACGTGTGTTGGTTGCTCGCCGTCGGCTGGCTTGATCTAGCTGGAATTTTGAAAAAACGGGTGCGATTTTTGCGCCGGACTGTACAAGAAGGCGGTTGGAAGGATTTATGCGGTGTTTTCCTCGCAATCAGGTCATGGCGGGTCAGGTTAGATCAGGTCAGGTTGAGTTTTTAGTTCGTCGGGTTTAAACTTGCCAATTTTTCAGTTTTGGAATTTCTCGACTTTGAAAATTTTCAATTTTTGTGTTTCGCAACCCCGATTTTTCTATTTCTCTATTTTTCAGTTTGTTAAATTTTCAATTTTTCAGTTTCCCGATTTTTACCGTTTTCGTAAAGTTGGTTTTTCTATTTTTCGACTGTTCGAATTTTCAGTTTTTCAATATTTCTCGATTTTTTGATTTTTCAACATTTCGATTTCAGGATTTCTGATGTATCCGATTTTTCGATTTATGGATTATAATTTTTATTGTGATTATTCCATCTTTTGACTTTTCGAGTTTTACTTTTTCCAGTTTATCGATTTTTGGATTTTTATTTTTTCGCATTTCCATTTTTTTTCTTTTTTCGCGTTTTTTAAAGCTTCGATTTCGTGATTTTTGATTTTTCGATTTTTCAATTTTTATATTTTTCAATCTTCCAAAAAGTCGAAAAATCGAGATAATGAAAAGTCCAAAAATCCAGAAATTGAAAAACAGCGAAACCTAAAAAATTTCAGATTTTTCAGTTTCTCGATCTTTCAAATTCGTTTTTTCACTTTTTGGATTCAATTATTTGTAAACTTGGTTTTTCTTTTTTTCTGTTTCCCAATTTTTCGACTATTCAAATTTTCGATTTTTCGATATTTCGGTTTCTCGAATTTTTTATTTTTCAACTTTTCCATTTTATGATTTCTGATTTATCCAATTTTTCGGTTTTTAGATGTTTTTTAAAAATCGGAAAGTAGAAATATCCAGAAATTGACAAATCGTGAAATTGAAACTTGCCATTTTTCAATTTTTTATTTTCGAGGTTTTTCTGTTTCTGGATTTTCCGACTTTTCGATTTTGTTCTTTCACGTTCTCGATTTTATAATTTTTGTTTCTCCATTTTTCAATTATTTAAATCTTCAATTTATCGATTTTTCACATTTGCGATTGTTCAATTATTGGTTGTTTCTTAATTTTTCCGTTTGCCAATTTTTCGATACACAAATTTTCGATTTTTCAATTTTTCGATTTTTCGAATTTTCAATTTTTGAGTGTTCTGTTCCTCGATTTTTCGATGTATAGGTTATTAATTTTTCGATTAGTCGATCTTTTTTTCGGTTTTTCGATTTTTACTTTTTTCGGTTTATCGACTTTTGGAATTTTGTTTTTTGATTTTCCAGTTTATTCGATTTTCCAATTTCTAGATTTTTTAAAGTTTGGATTTGTCGATTTCACGATTTCTGAATTTTTCGATTTTTTATGTAAAATATAAAAATATAATAATGGAAAAATCGAGAAATTGGAAAATCGAAGATCAAAAGACTGAAAAGTTAAAAAATCGAATAATCGGAAAATCGAGGAACGCAACAATAAAAGTTTCAGCTTTTCAGTTTTTCGGTTTTGAAATTCGATTTTTATATTTAACAGCCTCAATTTTTTCGATCTTCATTTATTCGTTGATTTTTCGATATTTCAGTTTCTTGATTTATTTATTTTTCAACTTTCAGGATTTCTGGTTTATCCGATTTTTAGATTTTTCAGTTTTTAGATATTTCAATTTTTTTCCATTTCTCAATTTTTCGATTTATACAAATTTTCGATTTTTCAATTTTTAGATCCTTCGATTTCTAGAATTTTCAATTTATTGATTCTTCTGTTGGCCGATTTTTCTATTTATGGATTCTTAATTTTTCGATTATTAGATCTTTCAACAGTTCAATTTTTAGATTTTTTTTTCGATTTTCCAATTTATTCGACTGTCAATTTCTTGATTTTTTAAACTTTCGATTTGTCGATTTCACGATTTCCGAATTTTTCGATGTTTTAATTTTTACATTTTTTAAACTTTCGATTTGTCGATTTCACGATTTTTGAATTTTTCGATTTTTCAGCAAAATATAAAAATGTAAATATAATAATGGAAAAATCGAGAAGTTGGAAAATCGAAAATCAAAAGATTGAAAAGTTAAACAATCGAATAATCGAAAAATCGAGGAACGCAACAATAAAAGTTTCACCTTTTCAATTTTTTGGTTTTGAAATTATATTTTTATATTTCACACCCTCGATTTTTCTTTTATCTATTTAATTATTTAAATTTTCAATTTTTCTGTTTCCCAATTTTTCGACTTTTCCATTTTAGGATTTCTGATTTATCCGATTTTTCGGTTTTTAGATATTTTTTAAAAATCGGAAAGTAGAAATATCCAGAAATTGACAAATCGTGAAATTGAAACTTGCCATTTTTCAATTTTTTATTTTCGTGGTTTTTCTGTTTCTGGATTTTCCGACTTTTCGATTTTGTTCTTTCACGTTCTCGATTTTATAATTTTTGTTTCTCTATTTTTCAATTATTTAAATCTTCAATTTATCGATTTTTCACATTTGCGATTGTTCAATTATTGGTTGTTTCTTAATTTTTCCGTTTGCCAATTTTTCGATACACAAATTTTCGATTTTTCAATTTTTCGATTTTCGAATTTTCAATTTTTGAGTGTTCTGTTCCTCGATTTTTCGATGTATAGGTTATTAATTTTTCGATTAGTCGATCTTTTTTTCGGTTTTTCGATTTTTACTTTTTTCGGTTTATCGACTTTTGGAATTCTGTTTTTTGTTTTTCCAGTTTATTCGACTTTCCAATTTCTAGATTTTTTAAAGTTTGGATTTGTCGATTTCACGATTTTTGAATTTTTCGATTTTTCAGTAAAATATAAAAATGTAAATATAATAATGGAAAAATCGAGAAGTTGGAAAATCGAAAATCAAAAGATTGAAAAGTTAAACAATCGAATAATCGAAAAATCGAGGAACGCAACAATAAAAGTTTCACCTTTTCAATTTTTTGGTTTTGAAATTATATTTTTATATTTCACACCCTCGATTTTTCTTTTATCTATTTAATTATTTAAATTTTCAATTTTTCTGTTTCCCAATTTTTCGACTTTTCCATTTTAGGATTTCTGATTTATCCAATTTTTCGGTTTTTAGATGTTTTTTAAAAATCGGAAAGTAGAAATATCCAGAAATTGACTAATCG